TTATTTTGATATATCACAGTGAAAGATTTATCGTCCTCTTTTTTTTTTTTTTTTTTTTTAAAAAAAAAAAAAAAAAAAAAAAAAAAAAAAAATCATGAGTCATGAGCTGGGTGTGGTGGTGCATGCCTTTAATTCCAACACTGAGGAGGCAGAAGCAGGTGGATCTCTATGAGATCAAGGCCAGGCTGGTCTACACAGTGACCTCCAGGCCAGCTAGGGCTACAGGGTGACCCTGTCTCAAACTCTTCCCCATGAAAAAAACAAGTTACGGGGCTAGAGAGATGGGCAGTGGTTAAGAGGACTGGCTGCTCTTACAGAGAACCTGGCTTCAGTTCCCAGCATCCACAAGGTAGTTAACAACCATCTGTAACTCCGGTTCCAGGGCATCTGAGGCCCTCTTCTGGCCTCCATGGCCATTGCATGAACACGGTGCACTTACATATGTGGGCAAAACGCACATAAATATAAAATAAAAATAAATTTAAAAATAGAAAATAAGAAAAAAATAAAGCTCTACGCGGTCACCCATTCAGATGACATCTAACGTCCTTCCTACAGCATAAAAAACAGCTCACAGCTGAGTGTGGTGGCACACATTTTTTAAAAATATTTTATTATTTTTATTTTATGTGTATAAGTGTATGGCCTGCATGTATGTGAGGGCACCCATGTTGTGCAGTGCCGCGGAAGTCAGAAGAGGGCTTCGGATTCCCCTAGAACTGGAGTTAAGGACAGTTCATAGCTGCCATGTGGGTGCTGGGAATCGAACCCAGGTCCTCTGCAAGAGCAGTCAGTGCTCTTAACCACTGAGCCATCTCTCCATCCCCAGCACATACTTTTATTAGTCCCAGTACTCAGGAGGCAGAGGCAGGAGGATCTCTGTGAGATCAAGTTCAGCCCGATCTACAAAGCAAGTTCCAGGCCAGCTGTGGCTATAGGGAGACCCTGTCTGCAAAACAAAACAAGACAAAACAAAACAAAAACAGCTCCCAAGACAATGTCCCCAGTGTGTATGCCTCCCTTAGGGGCTCAGGTTTCTTTGAGGGCAAATTCACTACAAAAGAAGCTAAGAGCCCAGGATCACTCCAGCTCAGACTACCTGCTCGAACCTCTTCATGCTCCAGGACCACACGGTTGTAGATGAAGCGGATGTACTTGGAAGGGTTGTTGGTCTTGGGCCCCTCCTGGCCCAACAGATGCAGGATTCGGGTAGCCAGGACTGTGAATTCACAGTCCTCGATGAATTCACACAGGTGTGACAGCCCTGCCTCCTTGCTTTCCGAGTTCTCCTCAATGATGCTGATGATACAGTCCACAATGGCGCGCTTATACTCAAAGCCGCCCTGCAGAGAGAAAGGTCCAGCTGAGCAAAAACCCCACTCCCTCGGAGACAAGCCAGAGCCTACGCCAAGCCCAGACACTGTTCCACACACAGCCTAGGGGCAAGAGCCTAGGTTTCTAGTTCTAACAGGAGAAAGTTTAACGGAAACATTTTAGATCCTACTTTTCTCACTGAGTATAACATACACTACATCAATAAACTGTCATGTACTCCTTAAACTCACTGAGAAGCTGGCTCTGGAGGCAGGGTTGCCTTCCCTAGCTTCAGACCCAACCATGCTTATCTTAAAGTGTCCCTCAGGAGCCCTTGTCCAGGGATGAGCAGGCCTCTGGCCCCATGAAAGGGGAAAGGAGAACAGCAAAACAGCTCAAGAGTGAAAACAGCATGCATGCCCTTAAGAACAGAAGGAGAATAAACCATGAAAACACTGTGGCCTTGAAAATAGCTGGGAGGGAAGTCATTCCCAGGCACCTTTCCAAAGCTAAAGACTCAGCTACTGTTTACACCATGAATTCTCACCCAGCAGGAGACAGTCTGCCTGGAACCCTATCTGTCAGGGGGGGCCTCGGATGACTACTTTTTTCCAGTAATTCCATTTCTGGGTATTACCAACAAACTGCTCTGTATACATGCTCTAAGCAGCACCAGTCACAAAAGCTAAAACACAGAAGCAACCTAAGTGTTCATGGATGGATGGATGGATAACAAAATGCAGTCTGTACCTTAAAGGAATTCTGCTCAACCTTGAAAAAGAAGAAAATGCTGATACATGCTACATACAACACAGATGAACCCTGAGGATATTATAAGTGAAATAAGGAATGCAGAAAAAGGTAAACATTGCATGAGTCCCCTCAGATAAGATGCCTAGAGCAGTCAAATTCAGAGAGACAGAGAACTGTGGGTGCCAGAAGCTAGAGGCAGCAGATGGGGAGCTAGTGTTTAATAAGTACAGAGTCTTAGTTAAATATGAAAAAGTTATGAGATGAGCCAGGCATGACGGCATGCCTGTACTTCTAGCACTGGGAAGGCTGAAGCAGGGATTGTGGGTTTGTGGCTAGGCCATGCTAACGTAATACAAAACACAAAAAGGAAAAAAAAAAGTTACGAGATGGAAGGTGGTGATGGTTGTACAATAATGTGAATTTCTAACATTACTAAACTATACACTTAAAATACCAGAGTGGTATGCACCTATAATCAAGCATGAGGGAAGCTGAGACAGCAGGATCATGAATTTGGGGCCACCCTAGGCTACAAAATGAGATTCAGATCAGCCTTGGCTACATATGACCCTGTTTAGAAAGAAAGAAAAAAAAAAGGAGTGGGGGTGGGGTGGGGTAGACGCAGAGCAGTGGCGTTCCTCCAGTGGATGTGAGTTTGGTTTCCACTTCTCCTACCATATGAGTTTCAAAGATTAAATGCTCATCTTCAGGCTTGGAAGCAAGTGCTTTTACCTGCTGAGCCATCTTGCTGGCTCCTCACTTTACTTTTATGGGACTCAGCCATTACTGCACCTCCCCACTTATTCTGAAGAACAAACAAAATGCTACTTGAGCCCAGGAGTGGTGCATGCCTATAATCCAACACGGGTACTTAGAACTGAATTCTGGTCCTCTGGAAGGGCAACCAGTGATCTTAACCGCTGAGCCATTCTCCAGCCCCACACACTTGTTTTTGATTCTGTGAAATTGGCTGGTTTGTTGACACAAACATCACTAATTTGTGTCAGGTATAAAATTAGAACCAATGTCAGTCATGTTATTAGCACCAACTTGAGAAGAAACTTCCTCAAGAGCTCCTGAATGGCCTGGAAGCCTTTTGCACTAAACTCAGCAATACTGCACAGGCCCTTGTTCTGCATAAGCATTGCCATAGGGCACCTGCTAGCTTTGGTGCCATGCTGGTGAGTCACACAGTTTTACTGCAATTATGGAGCTGGTGAGGTTGCATCATCTGTTTACAGAAAGTTAAAGGGCTCCAGGCACCAGGAATTAGCTTTTAATGGTAATCTGAATATAATACCAAGAGGTAAGTCTTGGCAGCCAGGCCACTTCCTGCACCAGGAGAGCTGGCAGGATCCTAGTGGGTCCACTCTTACCTCTTCCCTTAGCATGGTAAACAAGAAGTTCATGAGCACGGCATGTTTTCGAGGATACTTCTGGCACAGAGCACTGATGGCCTGGACAACCACCACCTGTGTCAAAGAGACAGGAGTAAGTAGTAGGCCCTGCAGTCCTGGTGACTTGCTGACTAAATACCACCAAGTCCCTCTTTAGGCAAGACCAGGCCTTAGGCCCAACACATGAGTAAGGAGACGGCAGGAACATCACTCCATGCTGGGGCACACAGTGCCTGAGCCTACCCAGAGCAGGTAGCACATAACAGTCCCATGAACACAAGTCAGAGTCTAGGTCCCCAATCCCTGCATGGCCTGCTTCCCTCCTGCCCCAGATTTCCACCCATCACCTGTTTGACTCCTCTTATTATGCCTGTGTCTCTGCCACTCCATTCTGTTCTCTTTTCTCAGTCTCCTTTCCTTACTTCCTCCCTTGGCTTTACCCTCCTCTTTTCTTTCTTTCTTTCTTTCTTTCTTTCTTTCTTTCTTTCTTTCTTTCTTTCTTTCTTTCTTTCTTTCTTTCCTTCTTTCCTTCCTTCCTTCCTTCCTTCCTTCCTTCCTTCCTTCCTTCCTTCCTTCCTTTCTTTCTTTTTTTTTTGCCTTTTTGAGACAGGGTCTCCCTGTAGCCCCAGCTGTCCTGAAACTCAGTATGTAGACCAGGCTGGCCTCGAACCCAGAGGTCCACCTGTCTCTACCTCCCAAGTGCTGGGATTAAAGGTGTGTGCCACCATACCTAGCTACCCTCCTCTTTTCATTTTTTCAACCAGCTTGGGTCCTCACAGGGCTCTTATGCCATACCCATCCCTCTTGCCTGCTCATGGACCAGGTCATCTCCTGAGATACAGCCTCCTCACACTCATTGTGTACTGCTCCAGAAAGGCTGTTCTTGTGGGCGAACCTTACCACGTTATCAGTCTGTAAGCTTTCCTGTATCTCACAGGCAGAGTAGATCTCTGTCCATTTTGCATAATCCACACTCTGGAATTCACCCTGCTACCTCAAAACTGTTCCTCCACACGTACGTAGCCTGATTACTGAACTACTCTGATTAAAGCTCTCCAGTGACACACTACATGGCACCATTTATGTAACAATGAAATAACATAACTATGGGAAATGAGAACAGATTAGTGACTGCCAAGTTAGGGATGAAGAGATGGGACTGGGTTAACACATGTGCCTTGTAGGAACGGTAAGTCTTGATTATTGAGGCCGTTTTGAAAGGCATTACCCATGTGCCCACACATGAGTGCTCACAGCTGATGAAATCCGAATAAGCTCTGGACTGTACACATGCTAGTTTCTTCACTGACACTATATTGTGGCTATGTGGGTTGTGGGTAATAGAGCTGAGAGGCCTGGGTGCTCAGGACTGTTGGGTTTATTTTTTTTTGCAACCTCCTATAAATTATTTCAAAATGAAAGTTAAAAAAGTAGCTCTCTCCTACCCGCAGGCCTCTCTTCAGGGTAAGTCCATTGCGCCCTCCGTGCCTTGACTCCCCCAGCCTCATTCACCCTCCCGTCTCCACTGCCGTTCTCTCCTCCGAGTTTGGGCCCTGCCCCATTCTTGTCTTGGGGCCCCAGAAACCTGGGGAACCAATACTGCTCCCTGATCCTTTTCATCCAGACCAGTGGAGTGCCTTCTCTGGGCCCCAGGAGCACTGCTTCTGGGACTAGCTCCACCCTCACCAACCTGTGCTTCCCTGGGTCTGCACCACCCGCCAGCCTCTTTCTGGGACACTGGAACTGACCTTTCCTCTTCCTGATCCTTTGCATCCAGACCAACCCAACTCCTCAGTGCAGTCCCCAGGAGGTCTTGGGGCCTCTTCCCACTCCATCTGCCTTTGCATCGCTTGATGGCACGGCCACCAGCTGCCCTAGACCAGCATCTTTCCTGGGCTAGGCTCCCAGGCCAGTCCAACCCCCATAATTCCTGAGGCCAAAATTTGACCTTTCCTCTTCCTGATCCTTTGCATCCAGACCAACCCAACTCCTCAGTGCAGTCCCCAGGAGGTCTTGGGGCCTCTTCCCACTCCATCTGCCTTTGCATCGCTTGATGGCACGGCCACCAGCTGCCCTAGACCAGCATCTTTCCTGGGCTAGGCTCCCAGGCCAGTCCAACCCCCATAATTCCTGAGGCCAAAATTGTTCCTGGAGGGATCCATACCTTAGGAGAAAGCCTGAAAACATCTGACCCTCATCTGAATTGGGCCTCTGTGGGAACTCCTGAAGACAAAAGCAATCCGGCCACTCCAATATAAAATCAAAAGAGAGCTTACATGAACCAGCTTTTCATGCCCAAAAAGTAAACCACAAAGACACATAAAGTTCACAAAAAGCAGCAGACCTAAACTTGAAGGCCTGAGTCTCACACAAGAATCAGAAACTACAAAAGAAATTCACATGTCAAAATCACAGAGAACAAATAATAACATGAAAAACCAAAATAACATATCCCCACCAAATACCAGGAATCCTCCAGAGGAGCACAATGAGAACCCCCTAGAGACAATGCAGGACATGGAACTCAAAAGAGCAATGATGAATATGATAAAAGAATTCAATGAATTTTAAGAACACACAAAAAAGGTAATCATAGAGCTGAAGGAAGATAGGGATACACATTGGAATGAATTCAGAAAAGAGCTAGAAATATTGAAGAATACTCTGGCTGAAATAAAGAATGAAGTGAAACACTCCATAAGCCAATTAGAAACGACAGGAGAAAGCCTCACCAATAGGATGAATGAAA